TGTTCTCTTTGTCATGAGTTGTACTGCACTTGTCAAAGTTGTGGGGTGATACGGCCGGGGTCACATTAATACGGCGAGAGAATCCTCGCGATCGGCTCAGATTCCCTCCATTTGAATTCGACAGTCTGATGCTGTTCTTTAACAATCTACGAAACAAAACATTTCATACATCTTATAAAACATTTCATATAAACAACAGCTTATATATCCAGTCACATGCGCACATTTAAAGCAGTGGTTCCCATAAAGCTCGCTAACTCCATTGAGTAGAGTTCTTGACAGACTAGCAGTTGCTAAGCTAGTCAAGAAATCCCCTACATTTCATGGAACATTATTTATTGCTGTGATCACAAGAGCGCGGACCCTATCCAAGGCCAGATGAGTTCAGTCCATGCACTCACGCCCTATTTTAATATTATACTCATCTCATTTTTTTTTTCTACAGCCCTGAAATGGGCACCAACAGAAACTCCTCACTTTCAACCTCAACCTTTCGAACACTTTTCTGTATTAATAATGGAACATACACGATCTTTCTAAAAAGGCATTTCAGTTTTAACTACAAAGATGAGAATGACTGTTCTAAAGAATCTGAATTTCATCACAACTATACAGCGATAGAAATAGACTACTTTTTTTGGAGATAACAGTGCCACCTACTAGGAGTAGAAAGCACAGACTATTAAATTCCACATAAAAAAACAGGACTACAACGTGAGAAATGAGAAGCCAGTTCAAGTGCTTCGTGTATGTACTGCAGTTGTATGCGTCCACGATATATCACACGGATGTGGTTTGTGGTGGCAGAAGGGGCTTGGTAACCTACTAAAAAAAAATGTACTGAGCCACGTAGATCCAATCTACAATTCCCGAAGATCCGTTTCAATATTAATACGGGAAAAAGTTTGAGTTACTGTGTAACATCCGCAGACTGAATCAAATGACGACTAATGAAAATGAGATTTCAGGTCCTCAGGGCGACGAGTATGAAGACGCCTACGCTTCTGGGATGTTACGCTTCCACAATTAATGACTCATCACCTTGAAGATGGAGGCAGTAAGCACCTCTGAAACGTCAGTCAATGTCTACAAGACTATACGGCGCAACATCCCAGAAGACAGCCATCTTATTTTTATTCGATGTTTTATACCAGTTTTTCTGTGTGAATAATAACAAGTATAAATGTTAAAAAAATGCTATGCCTAATACTTTTCACTAAATCATGACTGAATTTTTCAGAAATTTTGATTTCTGAAAAAGGAACAATACTGCATGGAATATTCTCAGACATACTTTCAGCACCACTGTGTGACCATCATCCACAGCCATAAATACCAAAAGACGCAGAAAAGAAAGTATGCGGTTTGTGGTGTTATGTTTCCATGCATCATCCGATTTATTTTTATTCCAACACCATCCGAATAAATAAACCATCTAATGTTCTACACGTTCCACGATGACGCTCCTTATATGCATTCAAACATATACGTGAGAAGATAATACTTACTGTACATGTCCAAGACTGGTACTTGAACAATGTTACGCACCAACCCAAGGTCACTCACTATATGTTAGTGATAGGTAACCGAATTGTTCTGTTCTCTGTAAACTATTTGGGTTTTACAGTTTAAAACCTGTGTTTTAAATAAAACTCAAAAATGTTGTGATATGTCCCTAAACTCACCCTGGAAAAATCTGCATCTCTTTGCCAAATAATAACCTTATGAATCGGTCGTTCTAACATTTTGCAACAGAATGGCATTGCACTAACCCTGGTCAACGTAAGTGTCATTCTTTATTTGTATATATCGTGTGTATGGTGACTCAGAAGTAAATTCTTGTTCAGACAAATGAATCGCTCACGAACAACCAGCACAAATTCCTGTATTTACTTGCATTGTTAACACCGAAATAACTCGATTGTTGTTCTTAAATGAAAATTCTAGTTCACCGCGCAGAATATACCGCAAGATCTACTTTCCTGGTGTTCAATCATATTTTATGATCCCTAACTCGCGAGTGTTTTGTTTGCACAGGGCAGAACTCAAAGCGAGGGAGGGGTTTATGGTAAAAGCACAGGCACTTCCCTTGGCGGGAATAGAATTCACTGCTCCCGGGCTCGATCGGCCCTACCTTAAACCACCAATCGGCTTTAAATAAAACACTAGAAACGTAAACAACTTACTGATAATGTTAAAAAAAAAAGACAAACTATGAAACTGCACGTCAATAATGAACGGGAAATCTAAAGTAGTACTTAAAATAACACATTTTATACACATAAACAACATATAAAAATTAAAATAATCACTTGTCTCTGATTAATTACGAAAGCTGCTAAGTGTTAACACGTATACATTGACTTTGCTGGGCTGTATAGAAGTACATACACATAGGTGGCAACGAATCAGCGAAGTCTTTTGTTTCAGTGCATTGTTCCCATAAAGCAGTATATAAAAATGAAAATTAAGTAATGTTGTACAACAGCGACAGATAATATAATTACATGTCTTTGTTTACTACAGGTATATAATACCACTCCACGTACCGCAATCTTAAACTGTGTTGTACATATACAATCATCCAACCAACACCACTTATTGTATGGATAGATAATGCTGACCTTAGGGCAGTATAGAAACATTTACAATTTTCAAGTTATAAAGCAATGGCAGCCATACACACAATGCTAAGAAATGCACGATTATCTGTGATTTTTACCTGGAGCAGGTCTGGCAAATCTCGCAGCAGTCCGTAGAGACCGTATCCCACAACATGACAATCCCCTTACAATGCCACCTTCCCGCAAATACGTTTGACTAGCCAATAACACTGTTCGCGCAGAGACCGGGGACCCTCACTCCGTGAGATACCACAGGGCACTGAGCTACGAACTGACAGCCAGCCGCCAAAATACCACAGAGCGTCGACACGGATGAAAAAACATACCCAAAAGCGGCAACCAATGAGAAACATGTGCGCTTACAAGACTAACCAATCATGAAAGACTACCAGCTGTTCGGCGGCAAGTACACAAGTACCCACCCTTACAGGTCAGATACTGCAATGCTTTTTGAAACGAAAAGTACGTATGACCTGACGAGTCTGACTATCAGAGTGTTCAAAAGCAAATGCTTAAAATTAAAATGGGGTGTGGTTAGGAACGCTTTAGTGTGATCACGTTTCTTGCCATAGGGCTATAGAAAAGGGGCAGAAACAAAAGTGGGGAGGGAGCAATAACCTCTAGTCAAACACATTCTTTACAACCACAATGCTGCATTCCGGAGTTCGTACCCCACCAAAATTTCAGGACATTTCCGACGTCAGTGGTCTTATCTGAGATACAAAAATGATAGTCCCTTTTGTTTTTCGACTTTTGTTCAAATGACGCCACCACAATTGTTATATTTTCGGTACAACATATCTACAATTCTGAATTCTTAATTCGAACTTAAGTCTAGGTCCAAATGCGGATGACAAAGGTCAGAGGAACCTGTCACTGATCACTATCATAAACATAAATAAACCTAGTTCACACCCTCGATTTATCTACAATGCATTTTAATAATTTCCAAGTGGGCTCTTCACTTCAGATTTTAAAGTCTCATTAACTGAAGACAACTCGCATACACGACACAAACTAATTCGTCCTCTTTATTTATGAATGTAAAACAGAAAAAAAATCTAAATACGAATTTAATAGGTACACAGACATGTTCGTAACATTTTAAAATTTCTTTTCGTCATATGTCATCCACGTTAACAAATGTTACTGTATCGAGTTTTCTGTCTTTACGCCAACAGTATAGTCCATTTGTGGTCATTATAATTTCCAAAACATCCAAATAAATAGGGAAAACCCACGGATATCAATTTACATCAACTCCAAAACATCCCCATCTCCTACAATTGTGCATTATCACCACCGAAATCAACGTCATACATGGAGAAAGCTACAAATGTGACACACCACACAGATATATTCAGTAGATTCAATTGAAGAATATGATAATACAGAACTGCCTTCTTCAGGGCGATCATCTAAAACATATGTAACTGGGCAGAAAGTTATGAAGGGTGGAATGATGTTTCCACATTCGGGGAACAGAAACGCAGAAAGGTGAGAATTTACCAAGAAACGAGATCACACCTTACCACACACTAGACGGGGCATGGCAACTAGCAGATGTCTTTGTGAGGTATCACCTTACAAGTTTTGTTAAGTGGGTTTGGATTGTTTTCTGCGGTGTAACAGTTGGTAACACCCAAAGAAGCCACAATCATAAGTTCGTCGTCACTAAAACAACAGATCACTACTGGACACCATTTTAAGCCAGTCAAATCTAAACTCACGTACATAGAACCAAATTCCTAAGACACACTTTATTATCACATTCCCAACTACGTCTTACAAATAGCCTCTTTCCATGGTTTTAGACTAAATGTTTCTGAGCAGCTCCTATGTCCCGAAACTATGTACCATGTAAGCAATCATTCCATAATCTACTTAAATGATTCTGAGCAGCTCCTATGTCCCGAAACTATGTACCATGTAAGCAATCATTCCATAATCTACTTAAATGATGGGTTTGCAAATACAAGCAACAGCGAAACTCAGCGTCTAGCCACCAGACCTCACTTGCCTGGCCCGGATTTTGACCTTCTGGGGCTCTAAATTGTGTCAAAGTTTAAGAGTCCCAAAAATATCGAAAGTTCGAATTTACGTAATTCTGACTGACGGTAATATTAAAAAAAACACGAAATTCTAATGTGGATAAAA